ATCAACATCCTCCACGGACCACTATAACCTCACCTCATCAAACTTCGACTTCATCAAAGACCCGCTGATTTTGGGCTGACTCTCCTGAGTACCTGAGAGCTTGGATGACGCCGGAAATGCCAAGACGGGGACAGAGGCCGAGGGCGCGCATAGGAAGGAGTGGGTGAAGGCGAGGACGTGGCGGTGGTGTGCCCACTGGCAGGAGAGTGAGGATTGGAGGACCAGTTTAAGTAGAGGAGAAGAGATGGACGGCGCTGTATTCTAGGCTGAGGTAGTATGAGTGAGATCATGTCGACGTTGACGAGCTGTGCATGTGTGTTCTTTTGCTCTGTTCCATTTGTTTCTTCGGGCTGCGAGCAGTCTGCTGCTAGTCTGGGATCCGAGGCGTGTTGCGACGATAATTCGTCGCTTCGGTCTTTGTTGCTGTGTGGGATTTGGAGATGGTGTAAAATACAAAATTCGTGTCGGACGAAGCGAAAGGCTATCAGGGCGGAGGGCTTTCGTGGAGAGAATGCAACGGCTCGATTTCATTCCGGCAACAACGACACTATGCGGGATTATGGTAAACTAAATATCATACTGTACAGAAAAAGTCTGAAGGATAAATCACGGTATTATGAGGGCGCGCCAGTCTGGGGGTCCGCGACTTTCATGCCGTGAGGGGCGTTCGATACGAAGACACTGTGGATCTTGTCGAAGGTGACATTCCCGCCCATGGTCTCGGTCACGTACGAACGCTTCGCTATAGGAGAATCTTCACTTCGAGACAAAGCGTAGTATCCTTCGCGAAGCAGGGTCCGATACTCGTCCAACAAGGGTTCGAGTTCCGCGTGTTGAGGCTGAGAAGAAACCGGGACAGTCATCAAAACTTCTACCTTGGCTCCTCTGAGAGCCGTACGAGCATCTCGCGCCCAGTCTTCATAGGGAGGCGAACTGACGAGACGGCCGCCTCGGTATCTGCGCGTATGCCATAGCATGACGTAGAAGAGGGACTCTAAGTCATGGCGGAAGTCGTGGATGGGCGGGGAGTCTTGCAACAGCTCTATTGCCATGAAAGGCTTGGTTCCAGTCCGTTGTTCCGACGAGGGCAGTGTGTCCGTAACAGGTTTCCTGTAGGAGACCAAGTCGAAGTCATTGAGGACACCAACTACGCGGCCTGTGGTACCCTCATCCCAAAGAATGTTCGAATGGCTCAGGTCGCGATGGACGATATTGCATTTTTCGTAAAGCCAACGGTAGCCTGGCTCAATAGCGTTCATATGAGTGTGGAGTTGTCAACGTATGCAATAAGCTTCTTACATTTGAACACGTCAAAGAACACAGTGTACGTGACTTTGACATCGGTGAGCTCGCGTACCCGCTTCAGCTCGGGCTGGATGATGATCCTGAGTACGCGCCTCTCGTACTGGTCGCGCGGGTAGTGCTCGGCCAGTCGAGCCTGCACGTCGTCAGATGCTTGACGCAGTTGTCAGCATACGGTTCATATTCACTAACAATGATACTCACAGATCGACGTGTTGTCTATGGTCGCTCCGAGCCCATCGTCACCTGACACGCCACTGTGGTCCTCCGAATACAGCACCTCCGGTAAGTGCTCGAGTACCCATTCGTCACCCAACTCCTTCGCCTTCTCACGTACTGTCTTCAGCACCTCGTCCTCTTTCAGCCGATCCACCGACGGCCAGCTGAGCTTCATCACCAGTCCCCTCGCTGTGGCTTTTCCTTCCTCACCCTGCGACGCCGCCGCAATCAAGTTCAGCGACCAATGACTCTTCACGGGACTCTCTTTCACTTTCACGCGAACCACGCATGTTCCTCGCCCGATGATCCAGTGTTGTAGGTAAAGAGTCTCCTGAAGCTCCAGGACAGTACCGTCTTGTAGTCTGACGTGACAGGTGGTTGGTATCTTCATAGTGGGTTTTTTGACCTCAGTCTTGAGCACATGTTCCCCAGTTTCGGCGTCGACGCGATCTCGAGGATCGTCACCAGCGTGATCTAAAGGGCGCTCGATGAAAGGGTGTAGGCCATATCCTTGCGTTGAGAGCCGACAGATGCCAAAGACAGCAGTGACGAAACCAAGTGGATCGTCGTAAAAGTTGAGTTTCTCTGACCGTACGATGATGGAATGGTCGTAATACAGACATTCCATCTCGTCGCCGGTGACGAGGATACCGATGACATGGCTCCGCCAGCCACTGTCCGACAGAAGCTCCTGAGCGTAGCTTGCACACTGGACATATCGATCGTCAGATTCGTCCAGGTGGATCTTCTGCTTCTTAGACTGAGCGTGGTCCGACGATGTGCTCTCGTCCGTCGAGAATATCTTTCGTTTGGTGCCCGCAGCTGTGGTCGGCGTGGAATGAACGGTGGCAGAGAGAGCGGACCCTGAAAAATCTGGTTCTTGGGTTGTCGAAGGAGGTACGCCAGACGGAGAAGCTGTTGCGACGGGCGATGACCTGGGAAACATATATGTGAGTTATATAACCATGATTTTGAATGACCACGTACACCAGATGCCCTTCATCTATCTCTACAAATTTGGGTTTACCTGACTGTACAAACGCCAGTAGGTCGGCCCAGAGGTACGCCTCGGGCGACTGTGTAGACTCTTTGTTCAGCTCTAGTATAGGACTGAGGTTCGACTTCCGGTTGGAATCGCTTCTCTCCACGTCTAGGTAGGCAGGATCATCTCGCCCATTACTTGAATGGACACCGCCCTCCTCCCTCAGCTCGTCCGCGAATCGCTTCTTCAACTGCTCGATGATGTGGTTAAGTAGCTCCACGAAGGGGACACACATCGAAATCTCTTTCTTGCCAGAGCGTGCGCCCGCCTTGAGCTTGTCTAGATATTCGTCCTCTTTCGTGATTTGGACAATGGTATCATGGTTCCTCGATGTCCAGTCGGACGATAAACCAAGAACGACCCGGCAGAAGTCAGGAAAGGACAAGACTTTCGTGTTCTCGAGATCATGCTCCAAAAAAGGTCTGTAATCGTTCTCAGTGGGATCGATCTCTTGAGCGACGTCTGCGGCCGAACCGCTAGAGTTCAAGTTGGGGCTCGGAGCAGGGGACGTTCCCGCATATTGCGCCTTCTGAAGGTACCTGTGAGGAGCTTCGTGAGTATTTGAGAGAAACGACGAGGATTAGAGCACTGACCGTTGCAGAAGAGGGACGGCACGGACACAGGACTCTGTCGTTTCAAGGAGATATGGTGGATGAGGAAGAAGAGTGTATGTGGCGGGCATAGCCGCAGTGCTCCCAGCGGCCACGTTATGGGAGAACTTCTACCGAGCACTGACAGCCAGTGACGATGTCAAGAGAAATTGTTACACTGGTCTGTCTGATAGTCCAAGACATGCGAATGTAGAGATTGCAGAGAAGAGAACAAGTTAGTAGCACTTGCTCCTAAATTGGATCCGCGAGTGCTCCCGACCAGACGCATCGTTCCCAGTTCCCGGCTCCGGGCCCGGGCCCAATGCACGGAGTCAACTCGAACTTGGTCAACCCGAATGTCACCTCAGAAGATGGTCTGCAGACTCCAAGGGACATTCACACACGAGGGAGGGGTCGCATGTCTTTTTCAGCTGTTGATCTCATAGCGAAAATGTGATGCGACGAGGTTTTCAATGCATGTGATGTACATGGCGGGCAATAGGGTCATACGAAGAATATAGTGTCATAAGAAAGCAGCATGTACATGATACATCTACTTGGCCTGGAAAAGCGACGTCAGTACCAGGCGCGACGTGGAGGAAAGGATCGAACTCACAAGGATGATACCGTCAAACCTCTGCTTGAACCACGCCATCGTGTCCTCCTTCTTGATACGGTGCTGCGAGCCAACACGACCCTTCTTCTCCTTTCTCCTCGCTACCCGGGCACCAGGCCTGCCCATGACAACGTAGAAGTCCATGCCAAAGATACCAATGGTGGGGTCGTAACGGGCACCCAAGTCGATGTGCTCCTGAATACCGAAGCCGAAGTTGCCGGTTTGAGAGAAGTTCTGGCGGCGGAGCTCGTACTCCTTGACTTTGAGGCCACGCTCGAGGATTTCCTCGGCCTTGGGACCCCGGATGGTGACGTGCACAGCGATCTTTTCGTTACGACGGATACCGAATGTTCGGACGGTGTAGCGGGCTTTCGAGGTGACGGGTGTTTGGCCGGTGAGTTGTTCGAGGACCTTGGATGCTCGTGTCAAACGATCTCCGGACTCGCCAACGGAGATGTCTGAACAAAGGTTCAAGAAGAGTGGTTAGAGATTCTGTATACTGAGCGATCTTTCGTGCATACTCACTGAGGACAAGCTTGTCGATGCGGACCTCCTTCATGGGGTTGGTGGGGGCGGTCTTTTGGTCGGCCTGCGAGCAGAACGTGAGCTACGATGAACGGGCATAGCTCTGGGATGGAATATGGACTGACCATGTCGTCGTTGCCGGGGTTGTCGTCGGGGATGCCGTTGCTGGTCTTGCGGGTCTGCTCGTCTGGCCCGCCAGCGCCGGGCAATTTCCGGTGGCTTGCATAAACTGTACATGACCTCTCGGCTCTTGCCGAAGTTTCAGACGCCCGCAATGTTGGCGCTTCCCCGAGCGGTCGCTACCATGCACCATCATCCTGTTCGTTTCTAAATTCTATCATCGTTGCTCTCCTCTCTGTTCAATCTTTTTTATACGCAGCTCGGATGACGTGGCGCTCTGAACTGTGCTACTGGCGACATTTTGACCCATGCATGACGTCGCTTCGTTCTGACTGGGGCCACTTGATGTGGACAAGACGCATACGAGCTCGAGAATCTCGACTCTCGACACAACGCACGTGTTGCCGCGCGAAGGGCACAAATTCTACGCTCTCGTCATTGTGGTGTGGTTTACAGACCGGCTAACGTCTTTCTTAACGTTCTAACAAGTTCACCGACTCGAAGGTGCAAGTCATGTTCGCAAAGGGCGTTGGACACGGCGTAATCTACAGAGCTTCATTGGGGTCAACTGTGTTATCAAAACTCCAGCAACTTGGCGCAGTGGTAGCGCGCGGGGCCCATACAATGAGAGAGTACTTGAAACCTTGTGACCCCGAGGTCCTTAGATCGAAACTAAGAGTTGCTACGACGTTCTTTGTACATCCCAATTCTTTTGCCCTCTGTCAGCCTAGTAAGTATCTCATTGCATTGTGCACACTTGTAGCTCAACTCAGTACTCAAGCTTCATACACACTTCAGTTACCTGAGATAGCTTCGCCGCCGCAGCCGCCTCATCAGATACCTTCAACATGATCAAGACCTCCCATCGCGCCATGGCCACTGGCAGCGCTGCATTTCACACAAACCTCACTGTATCGTACACATCACTCAACTGGGCTGGCAGCCGCGCAACCCTCTCCTCCTCCGCATCGGTACGCATCTTTCGGCTCGCGGTGAACGTGTCCGAATTTTTGTTGGACGGCTCGCGCACGGAGTTGGGTTACTCGTTTTGCAAGGTTCGTCATCTATGCATTTGCCGTTGCGATTTACTGACGTGTACGTAGGTTGTCTAGCTCAATCACCTCTGGAACTTGCCAATCGCCTCGCGTAGGAGCGCATTCCGACGATGCCTCCCAGGAAGTCGCAGAAATGGTGTCACTAGGATTTCGAAGGCTCCACTGGTTGTTGCATCGTCGGAGCTGGAAAGATCAACTTATCTATGAGTACGCAGTTGCTGTATACAACATCAATGTTTTTTCATGCTCACATAACACTACAGGGTCAGCGTTTTTACTGATACGCCAGTCTGGTGAGATTCCCAGAATCTCAGGGGGGGACAGCGGTATTCGAGAATCGAACATAGCGGCTTGAGTCGCGCCAGTGACTCAGACAGCTAACGCGTCCCCACTTGATTTCTCTCTAAGCTAGGCGGCGCCACGATCGCATTCACCGCCGACATTTCGAATCTCCGCGCAACTCGTCGAATTTTGGTCGGAGGCGAAGTCGGCGCGTACGCTGACTTTTGAGTTCATTCATATGTTCCTCGTACTTAATCCGGTGAGGCGGGGCTTGAATTTATGATTGAATGGAACGAAAGCTCGAAGTGTAGGTGGCATAACAATTTCTAGGTTCAAGCAGATTCTGATTGAACTTGTCTAAATGTTTAGGTTCATGGCGATGGAATGTGAAGTGCATCGCCTGCTGCGAGAACGGGGCTGAGCAAGAATCATGGACAGCTAGTCGGTGTCGATGACCTGCTCGTTCAAATTGCTGTCGTTCGTCCGTGCCTCCATGAATTACTTCACTTCAGTGTTGATATGATTGCTCCGGGTCTATTCAAATGTATCGGCCGAGACGGTGACGTGCATGTGAGTTCCCTGGTTTTCTCCGTCGTATGACGAAGCAAACACTGACTGTTCTCCGCTTTTTGCACGGACAGCCTTACACGTCGCACTGTCTGGTTTCTTCTAAGTGGCGTACGTATTCTATACCCGTCACTTGTGAATAGCACCGTCGGGACTAATACGACGAAAGATTCACGCAAATATTGTCTTGATGCGATGCGGATCTTCCATGGGGGCACGTGATGGTGTTCCATGTCGTGCTGGGAGCACAGCCGGTGTTGGTTTGTCCCGCATTTGCAAACTGTTGAGTGTCTTCCTTGGGATTTGTACTGTGGCTTACTGAGGTCTGTGTCTAGAATTGCTACGACCGTGCCTATTGAGGCTGTGGTTACTGGTGCAACGCGAGTGTGCGTACGTCTTGGACGTCCGCACCATCAGAGCGGCGTCTGCTTGACAGAAATAGAGATGCCTGTGCTATCGCCGTTCCAAGTGAATTGAGAAGTCCCGCGAAATCTGTCAAACAGGTCAAAATATGCGGACGATTTGCATTGCATTGCGGACGACACCGCCTCTCAGCCAACTGATGCTAGAGAGCTCATAGCGTTTGTCGTCGTCGCCTGCTGAACACTTCGTTGTAGGTACATAAAGTCCTTCCTGAAGACCTCAAAATCATCGCACCAGCAATACGTTCCCGTCAGATATATAAGGCCCCGATATACTTGACCTCTTTTCGTAAGTCATGAAACAATGGACCCTGGACCCTACCCTTCATCGTCTTCCCTCCCTATGCAGGGCGTGATAAGTTCTGATGACCCACTTACAGGTCCACGGACTCACACTCACTCTGGTGTGTTGCGTCTTGCATAGACAACCTCTGCCTGTCACTCATATGCACGCTCCTCCATCTAGCAAGACCTCAACGTCCCCAGCGTGGACGACAGCGACAGCGCATAGCGGAGACGGGCGATATGTTCATCAGAGCAGTGCGTGCTTTCAGCACTTCACAGTAGCTCCATCTAACGACGTACATGTTGCAGGTCCAACAGATCGATACCCAGATAGACGTCCGTGATAGCGTTTTTGCAGTCGCTTTCTATGTTCGGTAAGTGGGTCCTGTCCGATGACGCGATAGTGGACAGTATGATTCTAATTTTTGGTCTTCTTCACTGCAGCATCGACACCCTCACCCACAGTGCATGCAGTCCCAAATACTATGCATCGCCCTCGTTCCAGCAGCAGTGCGAAGTAGAGGGCATCATCGACATTCAAGCTCATTTTGTCAACATGGCTCTGCGCGCGACTGGCGTCCCAACGCCCGAGATATCTCTCCAAGAACAGATCAATACCCTCACCTCGCAAGTGAACAGCCTCAACGCGCAACTCGCCGAGATGTCCCATCTTAGGGCAGAGAACATCAATCTCACCGCAGAGAACATGAAGCTGAAGATGATCACATCTGACATTGCGAAGCTATTGGCCAATACTTCCACCTCTTCAACCGCACCTGGACTCGGAGCACCCAGCACAGACAACAACGGCCCTCGTATCGCTAGTCCAGGTACACCTTACAGATCGTTCACCCATACCAGCACCACGAACCACACCAGGACCACTAGCAGCAGCGCGAGCTTTGGCACCGGTTATCTGGGTGATAACATATTCGTACGTTCCGTTCAGTACTGCATCTTCAATCTGTACTTACCTCAACCGACGTCAACTTCGAAGGCACCCGGTCAGAACCATCAGGACAATGCCTCAGTCGCCCCTTACAATATCAACTACCCTTCGGAAGACTGGGTTGATCCTGGTGCTCATGTAAGTCGAAACGAACCATCTGGCTGGAGACTCCCTCCGATCTGATGATGCTTGGACCTAGAATTATTTCGGTCCCTCCGTCCCAGGCAACCTAGACTCCATAGACTCGTTTCTGTCGTTGAGCTCTGCAGGGCAGACGTCTCCTCCGGACAACGGCCATTTTTCAGGGCTCGCGCTGGTCGGGTTCGATACGTAATACGCCTGATAAGTATGTAGTCCGGCTTCTCGAAAGTTTGTCACTGTAAAGTATCTTTCCCTGCTCAGGAGACTGATATGAAGACCCCATTGTGGTTGTATACCTTGTAACCTGTAATGCTTCGCCCGCCCCCCCTTCCCACCCTTTTATCCCGTAGACTTGGATACAATACCTCTCCATTCTTTCTATTTATCGTCTTAACCTGAACCGGTATGATAGATGTCGTAGTAGACGATCTGAACTGATATATATGTGCGTGGCGCACTGACAAGACGGGTCTCGATTGAGCTCTTGCCATAGGCCAAATTACGGTGTAATGTTAGGATGTGCAGCGTCTCTATTGAAGTTTTCGAGAACAAAAGTCCTCGAGCCGAGATGGGTCGAGTTTGGGAGCAGATATTGAGAAGATGTTGTCCACATCATCGAAAGAAAACGACCTCCCAAAGTCTCCGCGTCGAACTTCTTCGTCTGCGCGGCCGTCGGGTTTGCAGATAACTCCAAGTCCAGCAGCTGGTTGTATGTGCTCAAGGCATTCGAGCTCTCCAAGTGAGCGCCCGTTGATAACGCGAGAGAAGTGTCTGCAATTTGGCATGTTGGGGCAAAGGGGCGGAAAGAGGCTTGTCATGATGGATGAGGGTAAGCTTTGGATTGCGGACTTGCTGCACTGACTCCGTCACCCATTCCTCGTACGACGAATCGCAAAGGTGACCGACTTCGTATCGGTGCGTATGCCACAGCATAACGTAGAAGAGAGACTCGAGATCGTGACGGGGGAGGTGGGAAGATGGACGAGGTGCGAGAACTTCGTCGAGTCCTGTCGAGTCCTGTCGAGTCTGCTTGTCGTTGAAGGACCCGTGAATACGCGCCTACATGTCCGATCCCGTATA